TTAAAATCCCTTAAATTGGCATTCCAACCAATGGCTTTGAGGACAAAGCGATTTCGAGTTTTGATACTTTGCAGACTTAACCAACGGCTCTGGAGGATTAAATGATTATAGGTATTTGCAACCTTAGCGACTTTGACACAGAGTCCCGTACTATAAGTTTTAAATGTAAATGTGTATCATATTGTTATAATAACATCTGTAAAATAACCCAAATAACCCCTGAAACAATGATACACAGCTGATATTATCTATGTCACAGCTCGGGAAATCCTCGAGCAATTATCTTGAAAAGTTTGAGAACCATATCTGATTACAATATGCTGCCACATGAGCATGCTGCTTTAATGTCAAACAATTTTACATGGAACAAACAATGTTATTTCTCAAAAGATGTGATTTTTCATTTCCTATGTAATCATCTGTTTCTGGATTATATATTCACCACTTTCCAGTTATCATATTGTAACATACAGTCAATCGAAACATGATGTTGTTGATATGATCTTTAAAGCAGCTTGCCTCTCTAGATATAATACATGCTAATAAACAATTGAAAGTTTTGAAAAAAATGTATTAAAAAATGAAATATTTTAAAGTAAAGTATTTTCAAGTTTTTAAACATTTAAACATTTACTGCATAATTAAGTCACACAGTAGAAATATGGTAATAAATACTGCAAAACGAGACATTAAATTGCATGCAGTATGTAAATTATTACTTAAAATGTAATTATTTTCACTTTTTTTAAAATCATAGTATAATTTTATCAAGGTTGATTTTCTTGCATCGTTTTGGCTCCATCTGGAGGCATGCAGCTTGAAAGTCTATAGGATCTAATCTTGTTGTCACTTAAATAATGATTATTTTCTCCATATTAGATTTACACGTCCAGAGCAGAATCCAGATCTATATGTTGCTTTGATTTTCCAACAGATGTATCGACATGTGAACTTTCAACTGACTTTTCTGTTTGAATCTTTTGTTACAAACTTTACAACCAAATGGTCTCTCTCCGGTATGTATTCTCATGTGCATGGCAAGATGTGCCGGCGCAGAGAAAGGCTTCCCACAATAAGAGCACACATGCTTGTACCTTTTGGCGCGATCACTGTAATCCTCCCTATATGCTTGGTGAACCTGGGTGTGAGCCACTGAAAAGAGTAAAATGAAACAAAAATTTGAAAATCTTACTATACAAGCAAATGAATTTATAAGATTTATCAACATATAAACACAAATTTTCACTTCTAAATAAACATATTATTATGTACAATGTAATATAATGATAATGAGCATAATAATATGCAAAAACTTATGTTACAGGAATCATCAATGTTTCCCATATAATAGGACACAAATCACTCTTGGTGATGAGCTAGTTTGTTTTTCTTGACCAAGTTTGATGACAAAAATGTGACCACTAGAGTGTAAAAAAGGTTATTCCATATTTGAGCAGTGTGACCTAGTTTTTGACCCCAGGTGACCCATATTTGACCTTGACCTAGAAATCATCATAACAAACTTTCAGACCAATTTCCAGGATATTTGGATCAAAACGGTTATCACTAGAGTGTTAAAAAGATTTTTCTATTTGTAGCTCCTGTGACCTAGTTTTTCATCCGAGATGATCCATGTTCAAACTCATTCGAGCAATTACCTAGACAAGCATCCTGACAAAGTTTGATGATGACTGAGGCAAAAATATGACCAGTAGTGTAAACAAACTAATGTGGACGGACGACGGACAAGGTACGATGGACAACGATCCTAAAGCTCAGGTGAGTTAAAACTTAAAGTTAAAAGGGGCAAATATCCAAAAAATGTAGCTTTAAGATTAATGCCCCTTGTCAAGATGAAAAAAGTATTTCAAGTTTCATATTGATAACTTTTAAGATGTTTAAATTATATACATTAGCTTCATTTTTTGCATAACGACCAATTGTACATCAATCAAAGAAATTTTATTTTTAAATAACTACAAATTTAAAGCAGTCCAAGAAATCAGTCCAAAGATATTTTAAATGAGCACTATAGGCAGTTTTCAAAACAAATCCGAGAAAGCTAGCCATTGTTAATGAACACAAAAAAAAAACAAATACTGACACAAAAGTCCAAATTTTGTTATTATGAAAACAAAAGCAGTTTTCAAAACAAATCCATAAATCTGCCAAAAGTTAGTCCAAGAAATCTGACCAAAGACTTTTAATGAACACAAAAGCAGTTTTCAAAACAATTAATACATTCAAGAATTCTTTTATAAAGATTCTTAATACATATTGCCTTAAAGACAAAAGATTTCAAATGAAAATAAAAGCTTTTCTAAAAACAAATCCAGACAAAGAGTCCAAAGATTTTTAATGAACACAAATCTAGTTATCAAAACAAATTCAAGCAATCACAACAGGCAAAGAATCTTGTAAAATTTATTTGTATATGAAACCATGAAAATATAAAGTACAACATTGTTACATTTATATAGATATACACATGCTGAGCAGCATTCCTGTAAAGTTTCATGACTCTAGGTCAAATACTTTATGAGCTATGTGCAACACTAGTTGAAAATTGCAAATTTTAGGGCAATAACTCTGACAAAACAGAATAAATACACATGCGAAATCACAGGATCCCAGGTGCTAAACTTCACATGGACCTTAGTATAATCCAAATATTGATAATGAACATAAAAGCCCAAATATTTTTAATGAAACAAAGTCCAGATATTGTTAATGAACCCAAAAACAGTGAATCAAAGAAATCTGACCAAAGATTTTTAATGTACACAAATAATTTAAAGCAGTTTTCAAAACAATTAATACATTCAAGAAGATGTTTTTCAAAAAAAAATCATAAACATAAAAGCAGTTTTCAAAACAAACCTAAACAATGTGCCCAAAGATTATTTAAAAGAACACAAATGCAGCTATCAAAACAAACCTAAGAAATCACAACAGGAAAGGACTAACCTAGTAAAATTTATTTGTATATGAAACAATGTAAATATAAAATACAATAGTGTTACAAAATAGATATTACTCTCTCTTATGTCGAGAGTAAATCAATTATTCTCTAATCTACTATAGCAAGAAACAACAACAAATACATAGGAATAACGCTTAATATTTGGTAGTACATATTACAAATCAATAGAATCAATCGGTATTTATCTGTATCTGTTATGTTCTTGTATTTGGGATTCATCAAATGTATAGCATTGTTGCTGTATCCGAAACTCTGAAACGAAACTAAAACGGATCTGAATACGCGGTTACAAAATATTACAAAACAGAATAATATTGTGTAATCTGTAAAATAATAAATAAAGTTATGCTCATTAAAACAAAGAAAAAGCATTAAATTATGCAACTTTAATAAGTTATATTTCAAGAAAATATTTGTGTGTGTCATGTGAAGATAATGAAAAAAGCCTAAATATTCAGCAAGAATGTGTATTAAAATACTTCATTACAAAAACGTTTGTTGTAAGAAGGGATGGGGCGGGTGGGGCGTATTTAAACAGGTTATTTATGTACCACAAATGCAAGCGTCGAGTGAAGAAAAAACCGCGAAAACACTATATATATACCCCACTAACCCACGAAATACACGTGCACCGTTAAAAGAAAATATTTAAGGTATCACTCCATATTTAACTTAAGGTACAGAAACCATACATAAACACTCATTCAAGCTATATCCGATACGAGAATAATTTCATGCAATCATTATAAATGTCATAAATTTTTATAAAATGGCATAACAGAGACAATTAAGACTTCGAGGGTCGAACCAGCGATCCATGCATTACAGATGCTTCCCCTATCAATTGGATCTATTTCTGCCCATAACTTTTCGAAAAAGAGTCAGATGTTATTAAATTTTCATAAGCTTATTTGCTTAATTAATTGTATAAAATTAATTACAATTTCACTTCATTTTGCCTTATCTTATCACTTCATATTTCTTTTATAATCATCATGTAACTTAAGTACATTGTTTCAACATATCATTATAACTTTGGTATTTGTCACTGTCAGTATTTCATCATATTTCTGATATAACGATCATGTCACTTTAGACCATCGTTAACTTCAGATAGTATCATTGCATCATACTTTTATGTTACTTTCATGTCACTTTAGACTATTGTTTATTTCATCGTTTTTTCTTTTACTACCATCATGTCACTTTAGTTACATTTGTACATTATCTATTTCATATATCATATTTCTTTTTTTTACTATCATATCACTTTAGCACATAACCATTTTCATATAACATTATTTCTTTTACCACTATCATGTCACTTAAGTGCATTTTTTCATTCCATATCTCATCATATTTCTTTTATAATTGTTTTTTTTTTAAATCCTGCTTGGATATCACATTTACCATTATTGATTTTAAGAACTGTCATATCATTTAGTACATATTGATTCTTCACTTGATTGTGTCCCTTTAGTGTGTTGATGAAAATATTCATAATTCATTAAACTTGTAGACAGTGGTCTTCATCAAAAATGTCATTGATTCAAATATAATTTATGCACATTAAACTTATGACTACGAAGATGGATTTTCTGTGTGAAACCTTTAGAACAAATATCACACACAAATGGTCTTTCTCCAGTATGAATTCTCCTGTGTCGCTCTAACGCAACTCTATCTGCCATGATTTTCTGACAAAATTCGCATTGGTGAACGCCAGATCGTCTACCGCCTCTATCTGAAAAAATAAAAAATAAACTAGTCAGAGAACAATATTAACTAATACAGAGTTTATTAAGTTGAATTAACGCTGAACTTTCCGGAAATGGACAGTGTTAGTTTTTTTGATGGATATAAAGCCACACCAGCAGTGAAATGGTTTATAACTGATGACTTTGTGTGTAAATATTTTTTTGTTTTGTTAAGTTTGTTTTTTTTATTGAGTAAGGGGGTGGGTGGGAAAGGGGGATATAATGCTTATCACTAATTTGTAACTCTTCTAGATTATATCTATTGTCACTTGTCATTTACGCTTTGACTTTATGGCCTTTATCAATATATCACAATTTCAGAATAATGCCTACCTACATTAGGTCATTCTAACTATATAATTATTAACTATAATTATTAACTATATAATTATCGTGTCAATAACAATCTGATTAAAATCAACTCCTAATCAACACTATGCATAAAGATTCGATGATTACCAATAAGTAGTCAACCACCAGCTTACTTGCACAATTTTAAAAGCTTTTAATTTCAACCACTGGAAAACCAATATTGAGAGTTACTAAGGTCATTTTCACGATTTCCAGAACAAACATCATGCATTGTCCACATAACTGTGGGTAAACTACCAAAACACTCTTGTCATTTAAAATTACCAAATACGGTGATTGTCAGATCTTCATGCAAGAAATAAATTAAGTAGATCTGAACTTTAGCCAAATTGTGTCAATAACTTCATACATTGCACTATGATAATAGCCAAAACATAAATAAATATTAATGAGCATCAACAGAGCTTGGAAAATGTCTACTTTTTTTTTTTACTTCCAATCAATCTGGATTATTGCTATTATCAGTTGAAGGTTATTGAACCTCATGACTCTATAAAATATAGACTGCAAACATCTAGTTTCACAAAAAAAGAGGGATTAAAGCATTTTCATTTAATCAAAGTTTAAAGTAACATATATCAAAATATAGAACAAAAAGCATATTTGATTTTTAAATATCTTTTACTTAGTACTGAAGTAACAGATTAAAAAACAACAACAACAAAAAATTAAGACATAACTTATGCTAACAAAATAAATAAATACATTCAAAACATATTTCATGTTAATGAATATGACAAAGTGAACATCATGCATGTACTCATAACAAATTGCTTAATTTTATACCTCATGACAAAATGAACATCTTGCATGTACTCATAACAAATTCATTGTTTTTCTACCTCAAGACAAAATGAACATCCTGCATGAAGTCATAACAAATTCATTGATTTTATACCTTATGACAAAATGAACATCATGCACGTACTCATAACAAATTCATTGATTTTATACCTAATGACAAAATAAACATCATGCCTGTTTATTAACAAGTTCATTTATACCTCATGACAAAATGAACAGCTTGCATGTACTCATAACAAATTCATTTATATCTCATAACAAAATGAATATAATGTAGATGATATTGACTCATGACAGAATTCATTTACAGCTCATAACAAAATGAATATAATGTAGATGATATTAACTCATGACAGAATAGATTCTACTTTTATTTACGAATGTCAATGTTACAGCAGTATTTTTCTTTACTCATGACAACATGACATTACTTTAATAAATTAAAACCATTTAGTCAACATTTGTTCAACACTTTTTGCACAACCATCCTTTATAGATCCAAAACCTTCATTTCATCCCACAAGAGTGTCACAGTTGCCTACAATTACATATTCACATTAAATCCAAAAGAAAAGTACATATCCTTTTGATACATCAATATTGAATGACAAATATCAGCGATACACTGATATATTGATGTATACTACTAATTTCTTGCATATAATTCACTTTCATACCTGTTTAAATGATTTTAGTAAAATACATGTTCTGTTCATACAAATATGTTGTGTCTTGTTTATAAATGTCCTTTGCAGGACTTTTTCCTAACTATTTTTTGCCATCACTGCTATGAAATGTGTCCATTATATAACAACAGCTTAGTGGTAGACATGGCTACCAGCTTTTGTATATATTTTGGGTGAATTTCATAATTTATAGACATTTAAATAATTAATTAATAATTCAAAATTATCCAATTTTTTCATTGAATGTGTATCGATAACTGATCAACAGAAAAATATCCACGATACATCGATATCGTCTCTATCGTTGACAGCTCTACTTTTTTGTATTTTTTGTTTTGCACTCTGCACTCTTTACTATTTTGTCTCTTGTATAACACAGGTATCGATGTTTACTATACACGTGTCTTCTTAAGCAATGATTCCGTGTGAATCCTCGTTTACACTCCATACATACAAACGGCTTCTCCCCGGTGTGTGTTCTTAGATGTCTTTTCAAGTCATGATTACTTCGGCAAAGTTTTAAACAGTACTCGCATGAAATACTTCCTCTCCGAGTGGGTTCTGGAAGAAAAAATAAATATCTTATTATTTTTGTGTAAAATTCTTTAAGTGTGATAACATTTTGTTATGTCTAAGCCAACCTATGGTCATATAAGTGAAATGAAAAGGGTCAATAAAAACCATATGAAGTTCATAAATGGAAGAATAGTGTGCTCACAGGGAAATAATCACCATTAAAAGTGAGTTGGACAGCTCTCCATATATTTTGTATAGCGAGCTAAAACCTCAAAACATGAGGTCAATTTTACCATGTGATAAAATGAATAATGAATGTCAATATTTTAAGGTTGGATGTCGTTCAGAATGAAACAATACGATGCGATATGGATACTTGTGAAACAATACGGTATTTTTCAATCATATTAAATTATCCCTCATGATTAAATGAATATCAATTACTCATGACAAATCAATTTTTATCATGAATTGTATTGATATCATATTTATTTATACCTCATGACAAAAATGAATATCACATCATCATAGTAACTCATAACAAATTCCTTTTTACCTTGTGATGTCATATTTATTTACATCTCATAACAAAACGAACATCAAGTAGATATCATAATGACTCATGACAGCACATATTCTACTTTACTCATGACTGTCATGTTACAACAATTTTTTTCTTTACTCATGACAACATAATTACTCTAATAAATTAAAACCATTTAGTCATCATTTGTTCAACACTTTTTGCACAGCCGTCCTTTAAAGATCCAAAACCTTCATTTCATTCCATAAGAGTGTCACTCCCAGGTGCCCACAATAACACGCTCATGTCTAATCCAAAAGAAAAGTACATGTCCAATTTTTGTATTTTTTGTTTTCACTCTGCACCGTTTACGATTTTGTTTTCTGTATATTGGTCACCTCAAACAGGTAGCGATGTTTACTATATGCGTGCCTTCTTAAGCAATGTTTCTGTGAGAACGCCTGTTTACACTCCGTACATACAAACGGCTTCTCCCCTGTGTGTGTTCTTCGATGTCTTTTCAAGTCAGCATTACTTCGGAAAAGTTTTGAACAGTACTCGCATGAATTAATTCCTCTTGGAATGCATTCTGGAAGAAAAAATAAATATGCTTTTATCTATGTATGAGAATAGCATTCTGCCACCGTAAGTGCAATAACTGATTTAGAACTCCTATTAAATCCTACTTATTCCATTACTGCACAAAGGTGACGATTTGTTATATCAATGCCAATCTATGGTCATATAAGTGGAATGAAAAGGGTCAATAAAATCAATGAAATTAATAAATGGAAGATGTGCTGGGAAAATAATCGCCATTCAAAACATTTCATATTCAACAGCAAAAATTAATCTATTAGATTCAACCTAATGTAGTGGCCAAGACAAATGTAAAGTTCAACTATACTTTTTGTCCCTGTAATTCCCCAACTCTGCCTTACATATACCCCCAGCCCCTATCCCCGTACCCTGAAGTGAAGGTGAAGGTTGCAACAGCTGACTGAGGCTTAAACCTTTGTCTGCTGGCAGTAACTGTTACAGCCCATGCCACCAGCGTAGACCAAGAATATAGATGCAGTCAACATCAGTTCAGACTAACCAGTCCAATTAAAATATTTACAAATAACCAGTCTATTTATGATTATAACCATTCCACTTAAGATATACAATAACAGGTCAATTTAAGATATTTTAGATGGTTTGTAGTTTAGAGCAGTTAAATTTATTTCTGCAAGTTTGTGCTTCATTAATGTCCTGCCTTTTCATTATGGAATACCATTGTTGAAGCTTGAAAATAAATGCTTGACTATTCCCCACTTTATTAACTGCTTACCCATATACTTTTTGTTCTTTTTCCTTTCTAAAAAACATGGTATGAATATTTCTAAAAAACATGGTATGAATATTTGATTTATTGAACATAAAACAAACAAAAAAGTTTGGCTTCAACTTCTTTATTGATAAATTCATATTCTCTATGGGTTTCCTTCTCTAAGAAACAAAGGAACTAAACTAAAACAATTAATTACAGTGGACAATTCTAAACATACATACATGTATTATGAAACTTCCATAGAGAATTTAAACATATAGTGAAACTTCAATAACTATTAAACAAAGTCACATTTTTAAAATCTCTAAGCAAACATGTAGTGGCACTAAATCTACAAAGAATGAAACTTCAATATGGACACATACATATTCTGAAACTCAAAATCTTTACACACTAAACATACATACTTTGAAACTTCAATACAGTAAACTACAAATATGTATAATAAAACTTCCGTTTGATAAACATACATATTCTTAAATTATACAAATTGCATACAAGCAGTGAAACCTCTGTCAGAATTAAACATACATATTGTGAAACGTCAATATAGTAAATCTACATATAATGAAACTTCAATGTCGTAAACATACATACTATGAAACTCAAAAACAAAATAGTGAAACATCCTTACAATAAACAAACATATTGTGAAACTTCAATAAAATAAATCTACATAATTAAACTTGCATGTGGTAAACATACATAATTATTCTGAAACTCAAATACAAAACAGGGAAATTTTCTTAAGCTAAACATACATTACATACTGTGAAACTTCAATACAATAAATCTACATACATATTTATGAAACATCTATGTGGGAAACTACAAACTAGTATTATACAACTTCTGTACATTCAAAATTAATACTGACTGTTAAAATTACAAAAAAGTAAACAAAACAATATTGTGAAACTTCCAAACATTCATGTAGTGAAGCTTTGAATACTGTAAAAATACATTATGTGAAACATTCAATTTTAAGGTAAACATACAGTATGATATTTCTAAACAATGAAAACAATATTGTGAAACTTTAATTAATAGAAACATTTGAACATTTTGTGAAGCTTCAGTTAAAAGTAAACATTTGAACATATTGTGAAACCTTAATTTATAAAAACATTTGAACATATTGTGAAGCTTCAATCAATCGAAACATTTGAACATATTGTAAAGCTTCAATTAAAAGTAAAAATTTGAACATATTGTGAAACCTTAATTAATAACAAGAGCTGTCGGTAGGACAGCATGCTCGACTATTCTAAGTGCTTGATAGTAAAAGAGCCTTGATATTGTTAAATTTTTTAAGTTCACAAAAGGGCTAATTTTTTTTTATAAATTCATGTTATAGGCCTTAGAGAGAGTCTAATTATACAGAATTGGCTTGACTATTCGGAAGGTAATGTCACAAGGGTTTTTTATTGAGTATAATAATACTAATTACCTATGAATACATAAATTTGACAGAAAAGGTACAAAGGTTTGTTATTAAGATGTTTTATCAAGTAAATCACTGCTTTATTATTATGAATGCATAAAACTGTCCCAAAAAAGGCACAAACCCTTCAGTAGTTATTGAGATAACAGCTTACAAGCAAAACTTTACCATGAATTTCTAAGTTGAAAAAGGGGAGAAAAATCAGCCTAAATGCAAGATAGAATTATGGATCTTTGTCAGTGACCTACAATTATGACCCTAAATGCATATGTGAAGTTTTAAATAAATATCTAAAATAGTTATTGAGATATGTAAAACTTGCATGTAAACATTAACCAAGAAACTAAGTAGAAAAGGGGATATGAATCAGCCTTAAAGCAAGATAGAGTTATGGAACTTGGTCAGTGACATACAATAATGACCCTCCAATTATGACCCTAAGTGCATATGTAAAGTTTCAAGTAAATATCTTTGAAGACCGTTAACCTTTAACCAAAATTTCTAAGTTTCAAAGGGGCAAATAATTCTGCAAATATTGCAGACAGAGTTATGCAATTTTGCAAACTGATGTACATTGTTACTATAAATAAGTATTTTAAATTTCAATTGAATATCTTAAGCAATAATTGAGATATTTGACTTTACAAAAAAACTTTAACCAAAATTTTTAAGTTCCAAAGGGGCATAATTCTATCAATATTGTATGCAGAGTTATCCAACTTGTCAATGTGATGTACATTGTTACTATAAATAAGTATTGTAAGTTTCACTTGAATATCTCAAGCAATAATTGAGATATTTGACTTTACAAAAAACTTTAACCAAAATTTCTAAGTTAAAAAGGGGCATTATTCTGTCAATATTGTAGGCAGAGTTATCCAACTTGTCAATCTGATGTACCTTGTTACTATAAATAAGTATTGTAAGTTTCAATTGAATATCTCAAGCAATAATTGAGATATTTGACTTTACAAAAAACTTTAACCAAAATTTCTAAGTTAAAAAGGGGCATAATTCTGTCAATATTGTAGGCAGAGTTATCCAACTTGTCAATGTGATGTACATTGTTACTATAAATAAGTATTGTAAGTTTCAATTGAATATCTCAAGTAATAATTGAAATATTTGACTTTACAAAAAACTTTAACCAACGCAGACGCCGACGCGGACGCTGACGCCGACGCCGGGGCGACTACAATAGCTCTCATATTCTTCGAAAAGTCGAGCTAAAAACATTTGAACATATTGTGAAGCTTCAATCAATCGAAACATTTGAACAGATTGTGAAGCTTCAATTAAAAGTAACTAGAACTGTGTCCAAAGGACACGGATGCCCCCACTGACAACATGTATATGGTATATAGTGAAAAAATCAACAAAGGGCCATAATTCTGTTAAATTTGGTCGCAGCAAAAATTCCTTCCTTTACTATTATCTACACATTAAGGTTGTTCATCCCTGGAAGTTTAAGCAAAATCTGCCATCCGGTTTAAGAGGAGTTGCGTTCACAAAATTTCTATATGGTATATAGTGAAAAAATCAACAAAGGGCAATAATTCTGTTAAATTTGGTTGCAGCAAAAATTCCTTCCTTTACTACCATCGACACATTAAGGTTGTTCATCCCTGGAAGTTTAAGAAAAATCTGCCATTCGGTTTAAGAGGAGTTGCGTTCACAAAATTTCTATATGGTATATAGTGAAAAAATCAACAAAGGGCCATAATTCTCTTAACTTTGGTCGCAGCAAAAATTCCTTCCTTTACTACCATCTACACATTAAGGTTGTTCATCCCTGGAAGTTTAAGCAAAATCTGCGATCCGGTTTAAGAGAAGTTGCGTTCACAAAATATCTACATAGTATATAGTGAAAAAATCAAAAAGGCCATAATTCTGTTAAATTTGGCCGCAGTGAAAATTCCTTCCTTTACTACCATCTACACATTTAGGTTGTTCATCCCTGAAAGTTTAAGCAAAATCTGCCATCAGGTTTAAGAGGAGTTGCGTTCACAAGATTTTGGGACGTACGGACGGACAGACGTACGGACAGATGGACGGACAAGTGCAACGCTATATGCTCCCACTTTGTGGGGGCATAAAAATTTGAACATATTGTGAAACTTCAACAACAAGAAAAGTTAATGTTGTTGTACATAAATTGTGAAACTGCCATGATACATTCAACATATAAATTGTGAAAATTCCAAAAAGTCTATACTCATTACAGTGAATGTAACACATATTATTGTAACAAAATACACATTTATAACACATCAAAGGTACAAATAATTATAATGGTTCAATATAAGAATAAATACTGATTTTTTTCCATTCCATGGGTTTCCTGTTGGGTGAAAGGTCATAAATCAGCAATTATTTCTTTTTTTAGAATTTTGTCATTATAAGCACAATGTATGGGTTATAAATGAGAAATGGCTTTTTTTATGGAGAAAAATGTCAAAATAACAAAGATTACAGTGTAACTTCTGAAAATGGACCACCTATAGAACTAGCCATAAAGTTTGGACTTTGAAAGTTTCTTAAATTTAGAAGTTCATATATGAAGCTAATACTGATTATAGAATTGCAGAGTTTTGAGGATTCTTAAAATGGTTTAATGTCACTGACTTTGTTGATATCAAAGTATAAAGTTATTTCTTCTTCTTTTCCATAATAAAGAAAATTTCTGTATTATAAATTAGTTATTAACATTTCTGACTGGTTATATGGCCATATAAATAGCTGCTTGTCAATATAACCCAGGCTGCTATGCAAACCACTGTTTATATATTAGAGCCATATAACCTGTCCAAAAAATCTTAATTATAACCCAGGCTGCTATGCAAACCACTGTTTATATATTAGAGCCATATTACCTGTCCAAAAAAATCTTAATTATAACCCAGACTGCTATGCAAACCACTGTTTATATATTAGAGCCATATTACCTGTCAAAAAAAATCTTTTTTATAACCCAGGCTGCTATGCAAACCACTGTTTATATATTAGAGCCATATAATTTATTACCTGTACAAAAAAATCTTATTTATAACCCAGGCTGCTTATATGCAAACCACGGTACTCCTTATTTACAGCCATATAGTCCTGTCAAAAATTTTTTATAACTAATATTATCCACTGCACGACTTAGTAAACAGGTTACAGATTTATATTATATGGGCTTGATGAACGTTGTATTTGTGTATCCTTAGACTCCCTTTCTGTGTGAACGACCTCGGACAGGCATCGCACTGGAACGGTCTTTCTCCCGTATGTGTCCGCATGTGCCGCTTCAGATCTGCCTGACTGTACAACGTCTTTGAACAAATTTCACACCATGCTTGCTTTTTACGAGATTCTGTAAAAGACATAATAATAATGATATAAATTGCTTTTTTTCGAGATTATGAAAAAGACATATAAATGTCAAAACTGGTATCAACTATCAACTTCACAAAAATGAACATAAACAGCACACCTCTACGTTTGTAAGAAAGGATATTGTAATTATTATCCAAGAACTGTGCCAACTGATAATAATACTAAGCTAATCTTTGACTGAACTCTTACAACACTAAATATCTTAAATAGACTTGTCAGTCTTTCAATCTGGACAAAACCATTCATCCTTTTTATGGAAATTTTCAAAATGTCTACTGACCAATCAGCGAACAGTCACCAGGGGTCTATGTAGTTTAGGGTTCAGTTGGTGACAGCAGGCTAAACTTCAAATTTTATAACCACAAAAACATTTATTGATGAAAAAAAAAAGATTACACATAAAGGTTATCCTTTTTATTTCATATCAAAACAAAAGTTCTTGTCAACATAGCTCAAGACTTTACATTACATTTATAAAGTTTTTGGGGGGTTTTTTTTGTTAATTTTTTTCACAACATCGAAATTAACAAAATACAATTGCCCTGCTTAGCAATTTACGAAATATACCCAAATAGTATAGGTACTAAAGTCTTGCCTTTCTTCGAATTTTTAGGTGTAAAAATTATTGATAAAGAAATTTATACATTAACAGTCATGTTAAAACATTAACATGTTAAAAATCATCAGTCAACAGTACAGAGTAAAATAAAATATCATAATTATAGAAAAAAACTAGCTTGAATGGCACTTTCATTTCAAACTTGTGACAAACATAACATAATGTGTTAAAACCTGAAGAAATATAAGAATGAAAAATAACCATGCACAAAATTTAGCTACAATCCATGATATTCCATTTAAAACAGCAGAGAGCAGGTTGGACATAAATAAGTAATATATGTAGATTATATATGTTTATAGACTTGTCTTTTTTGTGACTGTATCACTCTCAATGATGCAATAGGTTTTCATATCTTACACAATTTATTGGACTTTCTTAAAAAATATCCGCATAATATTATTTTTGAAACAGTCCCTTGCAGAAACAAACATTTCAAACATTTCCATTGAAATATTATTTTGAAACTGTCCCCAGCTGTATTATTCTTAAGGAATTACCATTTAAATTTCATTTACAATAGTCTCACAGACTTCTGAAAGAAAGACAGCATTCCAATGTTATTTTGAAACAGTCCCTTGAAAATTTACTTCAACAATCTGCTAAAACTATTTTTTAAAAACAGTGTTCCAGCATTCATTTTGAACCAGTCCCTGAACTTCCATCTTTAAAAAGTCCTTTTTGAGACAGTCCCTCGGAATTGGCACTTATCATAATAAAAGAGTAGCCTCCCTTTAATGAATTGTCTCCCTTTGATTCTATTTAGAAGCAGTCCCATGTATCATGAGCATATGTCTTCTCATATTACACTTCTCCGTGAAGCTTTTATCACACAAGTAACACGCAAACGGTCTTTCTCCGGTATGTGTTCTCATATGTCTACGTAAATGCGCTAAAGATTGGTAAATCCTTCGGCAAACTTGACACTGGTTCTTAAATCCGTCAGCCTGTCCCTCCATTATGACTCCTAACTGCTGATGTATGTTTGAAACACCATCTGTCAAAGAGACAAAATAAATCAAGTATTAAAACATAAACAGAGCTATATGCACTTAGAATAAAATTTAATACTATAATGAAAACTTTAAAAACGAAGACCATGCAAGAAGTAAGTAAAAACCCCAGTTACCATGGCTTCATTTTAGTAATACTTCTGTATTACATGATTTATCGTTCAAATAGACAACCATTTTCTATCATGTACATTTAAACTATAATTATGTCCAACATCCACACTGTGCTGCCAATAATATTGATGACTCAATATCAATTACTTTAAACCAATTGCTGATTTTTAATCATACCATGTGATCATCCAATATACTCCATATTGGACTATATAGCGTCTGATATAAGTATCCTCATTGGCCAGTTGAATGCCTTTGAATCATGGATGATAAAAGCTATTAACGACCAAATTATCCGAATGAATTCTACTAGGAATGTCTAATCCGACTCTCAAACCATTATAATATTAGGTCACATTTTGCACTTCCTCAATATAACTAGGATATAGAATAAATGGGTTATTGAACACTGAACATATACAATACAGAATATATTTAGACTCTGATACACAGCCTGAGAAATCATATTGGACTCGGCTAACATTTAGTCAAATATAGTTTCTCCAGCTTAGTACTTAGTCCAAATATATTCCTGTATTATAGTAACAGTTCAATGTTATCGGCATGTGATATGCAAGCATTTGCTCATACAGGTGCTCCACACAAAATGCTAACAACAAACAAAATCTTCTGGATCCCGTTTTCTAAAATGCTCTTCTTTCTAAAAGCTCAGAAACTGGCAGATGTATCGAACATTTCACAAACTAACTAGATTGTATCCTCATATGCCACATTATTAAGTCACATAAAGAACCTAAATTAGGTCATTATATTTTGGCAACTTTCAAGCAATTAATTTGGATGAAGACCAATTTATAAGTAGAGGATTTAAGACCTCAGTTGCCCTTCTTTGCCTTATGTAATATAGTCATACAAATAGCCTAAATAACATAATTATAATGACAGCTTTTAGGCGTGATGAAAGGGCTTCATAGGTTATCCCTCTGTGCATCAAACAACCTTAAATAATTACTAGATTAATTATGGCAACATTTCATCTTTTAGTAGTGGCGCAAGGGCTGAGTTGGGCCTCTGTCTCTTATTTATGGTACAAGTTGACACCTGAGTATTAAAAGTTGAACCCATGACCTGCTAGCCATGTGAGTAAATAAACTCAATGTCTCAAACAAAACTTAACTGCAAGAGGAAAGTAATTTGAAGTAACAAACCTGTTGGGGTTTGTTGTTGTTGTTTTTATGTGTGTGAGTTTGTGCACGTGCCAGTGTGTGCATGTGTGTTTTCATTTTTGTTTTGTTTTTTTCTCAGGCAAATGAAGACTATTTTTTGTTTTGTACATAAAAAGTCATTTTCAAAACTTTATTTCATTATCTTTTATTTACATTTTATTTTTATCCAATTCCTATTTATTACATCATGATACAAACAAACAAATATGAATGAAGAAATCTTAATCCTATAAACTAACTGAAATACTTTACATAGACTATAAAAAAGTTTCTAGTTATGTACATATCAACACAAGTATATAAACATTCTGTCTAAAAAATCAAAGCATAAATTGTGTTAATACATTGCAACATTTAACTTTGTATTTATTTTTCAACAAATCCCATAATTATTTCTAATATCCCGGCTTCAATTCAGCTGTTTATTATTCTAAAGCAAGGGCAGTAACTGTACTTTTTCCTGACAAATCTTTACATTTTTTAAAGGGAGTTAACTGTATATTTTTGATACTTTTTCACCACATAATAAGCTATTTAAAACAAGGGCACTAACTATACTTTTTCTTTCCATTATGATTTTTCCAAAACAGGGGCAGTAACTGCATTTCCATTTCAATGCATTATTGTTATTTCAAAATATATACCATGATAAATTTTCATTTATTTATACCTTCCAAATCTATGACTTATAGATATCAGTAATGGAAAAGTTATACCCTTTAAAATCAATCTGTTAATTAATTTGCTGTAATACTAGGGTTTCTTAACCCATTACTTCATATACACGCCTTTTAACGCCTTTTTCACCCCCCCCCCCTTTTTGTTGACTCAAATGATGAAAAAATGCCTTATTTAGGCCCCAAACACTTGTTTTTGTTTGAGAAATGTTGTTAAAAAAAGTGACCCTTTTTTCGGCGCGGCCCCCCAACCAAAAGATACATCAGGGGGTTGCCAGAAGGGGGATGTGCCCCCTTCTGTTTGGGGGGTTTGAAGGGGGGCGGAGTCCCCCTCATCGCCAAGAAAATTTTGGACTTGTGAGAGGCTGTAAATGACCCCAGATTGATCATAAGGTAACGTGTAACTAACGCTGAAAAGCATTTGACTGTATCTCAATCCATTGAGAAGTTGCAGCACTTTGAAATCAATTTTGATGGAAAAAATCAACGCAAAATAGTGATTTTTGGCAATTTTGAGATGTCCCCTCGTTGCCATGGTAACAGAAAATTTAAGCCTGAGCATGTTGTTGCAAGGGCAATGGTCCAGTCAACATTTGTGCCAAGTTTGATTAGTGTTGAAGCAGTTTTTATAGTATTATAGCAATTTGAACTTGTAACGGGAGACTTTTCAATGAAAACAGCCATTTTTCACAAAATGCTCATGAAGTAATGGGTTAATGAAAAAAATAAAAAAATCTACAAAACAACAATTTTTCTTCAAATTTATATGACAGGCCATGTTTAAACATGAAAAAACGCGATTTAGGGTAATTTCAAGTATTTTCATCATTTTCTGTTAACCCATTACTTCATATACACGCCTTTTAACGCCTTTTTCACCCCCCCCCCCTTTTTGTTGTCTCAAATGATGAAAAAATGCCTTATTTAGGCCCCAAACACTTGTTTTTGTTTGAGAAATGTTGTTAAAAAAGTGACCTCTTTTTCGGCGCGGCCCCCAACCAAAAGATACATCAGGGGGTTGCCAGAAGGGGGATGTGCCCCCTTCTGTTTGGGGGGGTTTGAAGGGGGGCGGAGTCCCCCTCATCGCCAAGAAAATTTTGGACTTGTGAGAGGCTGTAAATGACCCCAGATTGATCATAAGGTAACGTGTAACCAACGCTGAAAAGCATTTGACTCTATCTCTATCCATTGAAAAGTTGCAGCACTTTGAAATCAATTTTGATGGAAAAAATCAACGCAAAATAGTGATTTTTGGCAATTTTGAGATGTCCCCTCGTTGCCATGGTAACAGAAAATTTAAGCCTGAGCATGTTGTTGCAAGGACAATGGTCCAGTCAACATTTGTGCCAAGTTTGATTAGTGTTGAAGCAGTTTTTATAGTATTATAGCAATTTGAACTTGTAACGGGAGACTTTTCAATGAAAACAGCCATTTTTCACAAAATGCTCATGAAGTAATGGGTTAATGAAAAAAATAAAAAAATCTACAAAACAACAATTTTTCTTCAAATTTATATGACAGGCCATGTTTAAACATGAAAAAACGCGATTTAGGGTAATTTCAAGTATTTTCATCATTTTCTGTTAACCCATTACTTCATATACACGCCTTTTAACGCCTTTTTCACACCCCCCCCCCCTTTTTGTTGACTCAAATGATGAAAAAATGCCTTATTTAGGCCCCAAACACTTGTTTTTGTTTGAGAAATGTTGTTAAAAAAAGTGACCCTTTTTTCGGCGCGGCCCCCCAACCAAAAGATACATCAGGGGGTTGCCAGAAGGGGGATGTGCCCCCTTCTGTTTGGGGGGGTTTGAAGGGGGGCGGAATCCCCCTCATCGCCAAGAAAATTTTGGACTTGTGAGAGGCTGTAAATGACCCCAGATTGATCATAAGGTAACGTGTAACCAACGCTGAAAAGCATTTGACTCTATCTCAATCCATTGAGAAGTTGCAGCACTTTGAAATCAATTTTGATGGAAAAAATCAACGCAAAATAGTGATTTTTGGCAATTTTGAGATGTCCCCTCGTTGCCATGGTAACAGAAAATTTAAGCCTGAGCATGTTGTTGCAAGGACAATGGTCCAGTCAACATTTGTGCCAAGTTTGATTAGTGTTGAAGCAGTTTTTATAGTATTATAGCAATTTGAACTTGTAACGGGAGACTTTTCAATGAAAACAGCCATTTTTCACAAAATGCTCATGAAGTAATGGGTTAATCAGACAAAAATCATAATCGCTCATCGAAATTAATCAAACAACCCTTTTCGATCAATCATCGATTATATAATCAAAGCATTTACATTAACAAAGTAATTGTGTTCATGCACATATCATGCTTTTATATTTATAAGTAATCCATTAGTATTCTGTATTTTATGTTACTACTACTTTATCAGCTGAAATACACTACTTTAAAGACTTGAGTATAATATTTTAATGAAATAAATTCATTAAAATCTATGAAATTATTATGTAATAAAGAATAAATAAACTGGATACTTTTGAAGATGCAACCTATTATGGGGACAAGTAACTTGGTCCTTTCTTAACAAAATTGTCGGGATCTTTTTAATGTCAGTATAAAATTATATTCATATTGTAGCCCCCTATAGTGTGTAGAATAATTTCATACATAACATATCTTTTTTGTGTGTAGTCAAATCATGTTTATTTTATATTTACAAAGAGACTTGTAGAAATTCATAATATTTTCTAATGTCAAATTTGAACATAGTAGATCTATATCTTTGAATTTGAATGTCTCATTGTCAACTATTAACTCCATGGTCACCATGCAGTAGCCACCAGTATGCTTTCATATTCATTTCAATGAAAAATTATACAGTAAACCTAAGCTGGCTTTAATTTAGAGTGTTGTTATAATACAGTGAGTCACTTAAAGTAACAGCGAGAAAATAAATTACTAATGATCCATTATTAAACTTTTTTTTTGTAATCGATCATCGTCATCAATTGCTATAAACGATCAATTTTCGATTATTATTTGATCATCGCTTAATCCCTATGTATGATCCTATGTAATACTATTTAATAAATATTCTAATTTAATTTTCAGAAAAATAATTCTGAGTAATGTATAAAAACAAACATGAAACAAATTATAATAAACAATACATGTTGCTATTTCCAAGTACTGATAATAAAACAATTAATTTAAAATCTTCTTTAGTCCTGTGCAGTCATTTCCTCAAACACTATAAACATTCAAATTATCTTTCAAATTCAAAAATATTTCAAATCACATTTGATTAAATTTTTCAAACTATTCAAAGCAAAAATTGAAAATAATAATAGAACTTTGCAATCTATTATAATACTGTCTTCTTATTAATAACTTTGCCTCATTTTCTTTTTTTACAAACATTTCATAACCTAAAAAGTATCATTAGGGTAAGAGTTACATCCCTTTTTTATTTATCACCATTTGTTAGAACAAGGTTTTAAAATATGACTTTATAAAACATTAAAAACTGTTATGAACTGTAATGCTGTGTCCTAAATGAATAATACCTTCTTTCTTCATGTGACATCTTTTTTTTATTATTATTTTTTCAGAGTTCTGTCCCTTTTTTAATTGACGCCATTTGTAACAAGTGAAAATATCTCACCAGAATTCGACTAAATTTGAGAATGTAATGTAATGTGAAAATGTAATTATATCATGGCGTCTTGTCAGAATGCCGACTTCTCTCATGACTTTTCAGGGCATCTTTTCTCGTTGCCCTATAGTCACATTTCGAACATTTGAATGGTTTTTCTCCAGTATGCGTCCTCATGTGTCTACGTAAGTGATACGAAGTGGGCAGAATTTTAGCGCACACGTTGCAAATCAGGTGGGAAATTTTAAGCCCGGATTCTCTCTCTATTTCCGTGAACTGATGCTGTTTCTCGGCTAAATCCAACGAGGAAGTGTCATCAAAAATACCTGAAAGAATACAATAAATAGGACTTTAATAGTGAAGAAAATTTGCAATTGTACATGTTCTATGAGAATTTTTGTCAACAAAAGCAAAACTTAATGCATCTTAAGAAATTGCTGTTATTTTCTACAAGTTCATGTTAAATGTTAATGAATATAGTGTTGGTAGTATAAGGAACAGTAGAAAAACTTATCAAATATGCAAAAGATAGGAAGTACCAAAGTTGGCCAAGTCACTGTGGACAAATAAAATCACTGGTAACCCTGTCTTGCAAGACTATACAATTTAATTTGTACTCTGTTTTTCAATAACAAGCACATTTATTTCCTATCACTTTCTTGGGAGCCTATACAGTGAAATCATTATTATTCATGGCAGATTGTCTTAGATTTTCGTGGATTAGGTAAACCAGGTGGATTAGGTAAACCACGAAATTAAGTCTACACAGCTGTTTTACAGCCCCCTATTTTTTTTAAACCGGCAATTGAATTCCTCAAATTTACGACCGAAGGCAAATGGCTTTTTGTCGGTAAACCATAAAATTAGCGCATATTGAGTACATAAGATCATTTTAAACTTTTTGTCATTAATTTACCTTGGTATCCCTTTAATGACAAAAATATTAAAATGATCTTATGACTCAAATCATGCTAAAATGATTTTTTTTTAAATCCCAGCATGAATTTCTGTATTAAATTCTATATATTTTGGGTTTGAAGCGTAATTATATTTATATATGTTGAACAAAATTAAGAAGCTGACAGAATCATCAAGGAGTTTTACAACAAGTCACGTTATTTGAAAAAACCCTGGAAGTAAAGTTAACAGATATTATGCATATAGTATGATTGAAACAAGTCTAGTCATTCATTTGACATGTTCTTTAATGTTTCCAAAGTTCACTGTGACAACTATTGTAAATCTTAACGCTCTATATATAACCTGACCCACTTTGGTCAGGCTAGAAAACCATCATTTAATACTTTAAAATGAGAAAAGATTTGTTCCTGTGACTGCCTTGTGTATTTATTTTTAGTACATTTACAGAATAATGAATGAAAATGTCAAAACAAAGAAATGAAAAATTTTGCCTGTGTCTCCCTTTAAGATATTTAACATGGTAATGGATACTAACCACAATCAGTTGATAATAATACACATGAACAAAAGTTTGGTTTGATTCTACCCAGTTTCTTGCCATGCTTAAGAAATACATAAACATGCAGTGTTTGAAAGTCTCAAATCCTCCATCCATAAAGCTGGAAAATTGCCATACAACCTTTACAGTATAAGTGCCACTTTAAAAGCAAGTTAAGATAATGAGAAATTATTTTTAACTTTATTTTAATAAAATTTAGTGAAAATGAGTTAAGACAAATATTAAGCTGTAGCTACTTGTAACTTTTATTTTTCAGGAATCAAATCAATCGGTTAACTCTAGCTTTAAGGTTCAGCGTTTGTGTATTTTCTCTTTTTGATATAGTAAAAGTTTGTGATCCACTTCTTGATTGGTAATTTCAACACGCATTCCCGTCCCTAGATTTGCCACTACTTGCCAGCTATTTCCACTGAAAAGGGTGGCATTAAGTGTAAAAAAGGTGGCATTAACTGGAAAATGACAAAATTCCACTGTTTTTCCACTGTAGTGGCAAAATTGCCACCAAATGCCACTATCCTTTGGTGGCATTTAGGTGGCATTGAGTGGAAATTTGAACATAGACTTTTTTTATGGTGGCAAAAGGGTGGAAATTGGTGAAAAATGAAACTTAGTTTATTTTGAAGGTGGAAAATGAGTGGCTTTTAGTGGAAAAGTGAAACTCTAACTATTTTCTGGGTGGCAAAATAGTGGAAAAAAACTTAGAAAATTTTGTGAATAACTTTTAGTCGAAAAGGGAAACTCTTAACTATTTTCTGGGTTGTATAAAAATTGGTGGATAAAACTGAGAAATCTAGTAATTGTGCATTGCAGGGTTTAAGATTTATTTAAGTCAAAGCTCCAAACTGAAATAAATCTGTTTATAGTTTGTACTCTACCAAAGCATCAAGTGAACTTTTTATCAAAAATATAATCTATTGAAGTTGAACAGTTAGAAAATTTTATCAGAAACTCATATTTCTTAAACATACTAGAATGCCATGAACACAATTCTGATACAAAGTCACTGCCTCACAGTAACGGTATGATAATTCCAGCTGTAAAGTAGCAGGAAAAGACACAGAAATTGGACGTAAAATCACTTTTCCAGGAGTTAAACACATATAATTATGATCAGGAAAAATTAGAAAAGTATGGGGTTACTTAACTTCCCATTTTTTATGGCAGTACTTTTCTTTAGGGATGTAAAATTTGACTTTCAAGTCAAAATGTTTATGTTCCATTCTATGCTTGTAAAATAAAATTACGGCTTTTAAAGTGTACTTTGTTCTTTAGTTATAATCTGTACATTAATTGAATAGTTGAAATGTTCTTCTATGCCCAGAAAATGCATATCTCTGCATAAAGTTTGTTGCTTCTTCTATGATATTTAATGTCAATATTGAATAAAGTTTGACTTTTGTTTTTTCTTCTAATTGACATAATAAATTGTCTCTTCAATATTACTTTAAACTGATATCTGGTGAGTACTAACACTTTTCATGTAATGCTAACAATAATTAAAGTGAAAAATGCAAAGGGCAATAACTCCAAAAGTATGCAAAGAGTTATGGTTCTTAAACACAGCACATTACTCAAAAAGATCTATATCTGTGAAGTTTCAAATTAATATCTCCAGTACTTTTTAAGCTTAATGATCAAGACAAAAATTAAGCATAGAGAAGTAAAAAATGGCAATAAACCCCAAATCATGCAATAAAAAGTTATGGTTCCTTGGCATTGTAACTTCTCATAAATGAGATTTAGTTATATGTGGAGTTTAAAATTATTGTCTCTAACATCTTTTGTGCTATGCTTTCAGAGGCTTTAAATCTATTGTAAGAATTAATGTGTGAAAAGTAAATAAGTCATAATGTCTGATAAATTTCTTACAATCAGGATAAGTAAATACTAGCTAGTAAATACTGCATCCTCTAAGATTTAACAACACAGCATACATCTCAGATCTGATAAAACTACTGCCCTCTTATCTAGTAATCTATGAATGGGGGTTAATAGTTTACTCATGCTGACCAGAATGTTCCATTTGATTATTTTGGGAGAGGCAACATTATACATGTTTTTATGTAGAATTTGTCTTAAAATAGCATGCTAAATTATCTTTTAAAAGCTTATTTCTACTCAATTCATTAAGGTATTAGATATAGTTATACATTCAAATGAATGTAAAAAATAAAATGATGGGTGCTATGGTTTTTGGAAAACCCCTCACAATTTAAAATTATAATGGACTGTCCATGCAGTTACACGTTGTAAAGTTTGAATTCAAAGGAAATGAGGTCAGTTAAAGCTTGCAAACACAAAGGAAATTATTGATATTGTAGCAATTCTGGAGATATTTTGTTTAAAATGTAAGGGTGCATATTTTTGATTTCTCAAAGAAAACAATTAAAGTCTTATTAGTGTGGTAAATATAAATGAGAAGTTTTAATTGAAGTGTGAATGTGTAGACAAGAAGATAAACAGCAGAATCATTCCCAGTCAAAGTTTCAGGTAAACAACTTTTACATACAATAATTATTGTTATTTATGCAGAAACTGTTTAGTTTTTTGACAGTAAAAATATGAAGTGGTATTGTATAAAATTGTGTTTTATATTTGTTTTGTTTGTAACTTGACTAAAAAGAAAGCTGCATGTACAATGTACATATAAAGAATGTAGGAATAAAAAGAATGTAGGAAGATCTTCATCATTTCTTAAATACAATATGTTAGAAATTTTAAGTTTGAGAAAAAAATTATAGAAATTAATCAGTAAGTACAATATCATTATGTACAATATTACATCAATCAAACTATAGATAACCTGAGGTACCTATTACTACAACTTTCATGCTATAAACAATTTTCCTTGTGTGTCACAGTCATGTGGAGCAGATTAACAGTAACTGATTTATTAGTAAGTTTCATTCCTTCATTGTTGTAATTCAGCTTTCATGGTGCAGTAGATAATTATATAACCATAACTAGACAGTCTAGAGTAACATGCTATTAGGAGAGTGACAGTTCATAACAGAAACAGCATTAAATAAGAATTATTATTTTGCAGACACAAAGCAATGAGGAGCAGCCTGGAGCAACACATTTGATCTTCAGTGGCTTTACAAAGGTATCTTGTTAATTCAAAGTTATTTTAGAATTAATAGGAAAGAAGTGTCACAGTACCCAATAAGACACTTTTCAGTTCTTGATAAATATAGCTATTAGTCACTATTTACAAACCTACTTTAATTCAAACTCTTTATGACACTTTAATTTGCATTTACATTTTGTTTTACAAATTTTAGAGTTTTTGTACATTTTAGCTTGAAAATTTTAAGTTGTATTTCTTTATTTCTTTCTTATTTAAAAATTTTAGAGTTGTATACATATACCAAGGTCTTATAAAAGTGTTTCATTTTCTGTCTTTACATATTAGATATTGATAATCATTTTCTGTCTTTACTTATTTGATATTGTTAATCATATTTTAGGACCAAGTGATGGCAGAACTGAAGCCATATGCCTCAAAAGAGAAAGGTACAGCAAAGCTCTTCAGAATGCTATTCAATATAGAAGAGATTAAAGGCCGCTCATTGTTTGGTATGAGGAAAGGGAACAGAGAGTCTGACGCCAGACCTTCTTGTGCAGACAAGGCAAAACTTAAGTTCTTGGAAGGTAACTAATGAACTGAATGAAAATATCATTTTTGATTCTGCGTATATTTTCTGCCTTGGAGAAATAAGAAAAGTCTGATTCTTCCACGTCTGCAGTGCTGTTTTTTAAAGTGTTTTAATCATATCTATGCACTCAAATTGAATATAGAAATATCCAAAAGTCATATAAAAATGTAAGCTTATGTTTTTAATTATTGTATTAATCATTCATAATTTTTTTTGTTTTAGATTGTGCGCTCGAAAAGTTGCCGACAACCTAAAGGACTGAACTCAAACCATCCAGGAATAGCAAGATAAACTGAAGAAAATAAATGGACTAATGTTTTGCTATTTTTTTGAGACAATATATAACTTCATAAGGAAACATTAAAAAGGATTATTTTTAAAATTTGTTTGTTTCCAATTTAGGGTACAGGGTGACTTTCAAGCAGTTTCCAGCTATTGCCACCCACAAGGTGGAAAATTTCTGAAAGGGTGAAAATAGGTGGCATTTAGTGGAAACTGAATTTGCCACTATCTGGTGGCAAAATGGTGGAAAAGTGTCTAAATACTCCACCAATTTTCCACCCTTATGGTGGCAAAAGGTGGAAATAAGTGGCATTTGGTGGAAAATAAGTTTGCCACTCAATGGTGGCATAATGGTGGAAATTTGTCTAAATACTCCACCAATTTTCCACCATTATGGTGGCAATAAGTGGAAACAAGTGGCATCTAGTGGAAAATGAGTTTGCCACCCTAAGGTGGCATAATGGTGGCATTATGGTGAAAGTTTGTCTAAATACTCCACCAATTTTCCACTCATTGGTGGCATTTAGTGTAAAAAAGGTGGAATTAACTGGAAAATTATATAACATCAGTCCTGCTCAAATTTTTCACCATTTTCATGATTTGGGTGGCGTTTTGGTGGCATTATTGGTGGAAAATTGTCTAAATACTCCACCATTGAAAAGGGTGGCATTTTAGTGGCAAATCTAGGGACGGGTTGTCACACATATCACGAAATTTGTCGCACATTGTGCATGGTCACACATATGGCAAGAACAGAACAAGTTTTCCACAAATTAATCTGAATGTCAAATGCAATCAGCGTGTTTTATCAACATATGTGTTTGGCACAAACATGCTGAAGCGATAGGCTTGTTTTATCAACATATGTGTTCATCACATGCCATCAGCGTGTTTTATCAACATGTGCTTGTCATATGCGATCAGCGTGTTTTATCAACATATGTGTTTTGTCACAAACATGCGATCAGCGTGTTTTATCAACATATGTGTTTGTCACATGCGATCAGCGTGTTTTATCAACATATGTGTTTTGTCACATGCGATCAGCGTGTTTTATCAACATATGTGTTTGTCACATGCGATCAGCGTGTTTTATCAACATATGTGAATGCAATGAAGACTTGTATGCCGTTCTGAAGACACAATACTGGCAACATATCGGTTTTTCTTTCGAGTGTGATAACAAATGGACCTCCACTTTCTGCTTTGTCGCAAACTGTTTCCCACAATTTTCACATATGAACACCATCAGTCCATCAACACGTATGCATGTATAACCATAACTGTTCGGTGTGCCGATTGGTACATTTTTTGGCTCGGCTGGTTTTACATTTGGAGTAATTGCCAGACTGGTTGTAATATTCTTGTCAATTGCATGAGGGTAACAAGTCAGAAGAACAGGAAATACTGGTAAATCTGAAAAGATAAGAGAATTCCTGAATTTTTATTTGTTTTTATCTATGCCGAAACATCATTCTATGAAATGTACACATCACATGCACAATTTTTATTATTTCTGCAGGACCATGGAATTATACATGGGTCAAATTGCATGTCCAGCGTTACAGTTTTGTAGGTGTCAATCTGGTGTAGCTAAAAATAATCACAAGCATTTGTGCTTTACAACTGTTAAAGAAGGATCCATATACGTCCAACCAATGTAACATTTTTGTAGGTGTCAATCATGTATAGCTAACAATAATCACGAGCATTTCTGCTTCACAACTGGTAAAGAAGGATGTCCACTATATGGTTTTCCATACAGTAATGTCATGCAGTTAAGAGCTATAAATTGGAACAAGCATTTTTATACCAGCATAATGCAAGAATTAAGGCGCACATGAAATGTACACCATCTGGGAACCCAATTAACAGTGATGTAAACTGAATGGTCAAAATTTGTCAACCATCAACAATTTCTTGACAGAAAGTATGCTGTTTTGGAGGAAACAGTACCTATACCTAAGGAGCGAGAATTTTCACGTCCTTTGCCCTTGTAGTTGAAATTTCAGACAATACATGTATTTGCTTTTGGCATATAAAAATCGTGAACTGTGGGCCCTCAGATAGTGAGTAATATCTAGCTTTTGCTTTCAACATTTCCAAGGCCTACAATCATTTAATCTTATAATTTTCACCCCTATACTCACTGAAATTATAATTTACACAGTCTTTTTAGATAATTGAAAGCCTTAAAATGTTTATAAATAATATAATATAACAAAACATTCATTTTCCGAAAAGCTGCATGCGTTGTAAAAAGACAAGATCAAAACAAAAAGATAACTTTCAGAATTATCTTATTCATTTTTTAATCAAAGCATTTTAACAAAACAATTAACACCTAGAAATCAGGGAATAAAACATTATCATAAAAAATAAATAGGTCACAATACATATTGAACAATATGAAAATTTTACTTCATTGCATTTAACGTCATAAAATACCAGAATCAAATAAGCAAGACAATTTTAATATCTCAATGGTTGATTCACCAAACAGGCTTTCCTGGATATCAAACCAGTTTCTACAAATTTCTTTGCAAAATTAACCGACTAGTCTTAAATCCCATATAATTTCTGAATCAGTCAAGAGAGACAAATGATCATTTGAGTAATGCAAAAGATCAATAGACGTTATCCGGAACTCAGATATGCAAATATGGGTTAATCCCAGCTCTTCCGTACAAATAAACTTTTACCGTTATAGCTGCATTATCAGAGTGTCGCAATAGATTAGGCAACCTGCTTTGCTCATTTTTGAAGCTGTATCTGTAAAGGTTTGTGTCTACAGATAAGCTGGGAAAAACCCAAATATTCTTTATTCCGGAGTTTATTTTCTCTCTATTTTCACAGAGTTTTTATGCATTGCACCCCAGAGATCCAACCAGTAACCTCCAATGCTCAAACTCTTTAGCAAAGTTGAGGGCCGGCACAGAAACAAAAGACACTGTTAATGTTAACGTATGAATGGGTTGAATCTCACTGCACTTTCACACATCACTTTCATTTTGTTATTAATTAATCAATGAAACATCCATAGAATGAATAGAAAAAAACACTTCACAACAGCATTGAATAAATATGTATCATTTTAAAATGCACTTGACAACAGCTGTTGAACTACTATAGATATGCAAGCAAACAGTTCAAATTTAAATTCCTGAACGCTTTTCCAAAAGCTACTATTCACCAAAGTATAACCAATCTGTTGACACAATGGTTGTATCTAAAAATAGCCCAAGAATGTCACTCTGTGAAACCAGTCTTGTTGCACTAATTCACTTAAACATATGACAAACCCTTTGTTATATTCCAAATGATTATGCTATAACTGATCCAATTTAGCACAATTCTTGACGCAGTTTTTTTTCCGTGCCAATGTATCCAACACCAGAATCGTATGTTCAAATTCATCATCCCGTCCAAATAAAATGAGATCCATGCCTATTACTTTCATGCACTCTAAGATAATCTTTTCTTGCACACTTGTAATCACAAAATCTGCAGGCAAACGGTTTCTCCTTCCAGTGTATTTTCATATGACGCGAAATCATATACTTCGTTTTAAATCTTTTTCCGCAGTTTCCATGGGAACACACGTATACTGCACTATTATTCATATCAATGTACGAGTCGAGAGCATCTTCACTCTGATTGGGTGAAATATATGTGGGCGTGGCTTCAGAATCTACCAGAGTTCCTGAAAATTATAACATAATAAAATGTAAACATAATCTAGTGAAGTACCTACATTACTTATTTACTATCATTAATTATTATTGTATATGGAACATTGGTGGTTCTACTAAGGTGGCCTTTCATGCCTGAAATAATGCACGGAAATGCATCTGAGGTCTTCCTCCACCAGTAAAGCTGGAACGTCACCATATGACCTGCACTGTGTCGGTGGGACATAAAACCCAATTAAACAAACAAACAAACTATTGTATACATATACGTTTCCTGGTGAAAATACAGTCATTTTCAAGTGAAGAAATAAGCTAAGTATGTGTCCCTACACATTGTCTTCATCAACTACCCTGTGTTAGGTCAAACATAAGGATGGTCTTTACTGCGTTTGTACATTTCCATTTCTCCTGACCCTGATGCATGTAGAAAGTTAAAGTTAATTTATTTTTAGACCTTTCAAACATGTTGCAATGTCAATGTAAATACAATAAAATTGCACATAAAATAAGATAAACACAATAGAATCAGCTTTTTTTTTTTTTTGGCTTATTATAATTTTATAGCACCTATTCGTTCATATTCCCAATTGAAAATAGTGTATCATTTTCCCAATCCACAGGAAAAAATTCCCAAATGAAATGGTCAAAATAAAATTCTTGAATTACAAATTCTAAAAACTTTGAAAATAAGGACTCCTTCACTGTTATGGTGCTTAAATATTTGAGTCATGCATTTTTTACAATTTTTAACAAAATGTCGCTGAAATTCCAAATACCATGGGTATGGGTCAAGTTCCAAAAATCCTGGAGAAAAAAAAACATGCATTATATTTCATAATAAAATGTAAAATTGTTTAATATTTTTTAGTCTGAATCAGGCTTTTGTCTCAAATCAATAACACAACAATTTCAAGTAACACAAATTCTCACACTCATTGAGCATATTTCGGGCCTTGGTGAAACTATATGCTATAAAAGCATAATTTGAGCCTTGGTGAAAATATCTATATTGTAAAAACATATTCTGAGCCTTGGTGAAAGTATCTGTTCTATAAAAGCATAATTTGAGCCTTGGTGAAAGTATCTGTATTGTAAAAACATATTCTGAGCCTTGGTGAAAGTATCTGTTCTATAAAAGCATAATTTGAGCCTTGGTGAAAGTATCTGTATTGTAAAAACATATTCTGAGCCTTGGTGAAAGTATCTGTTCTATAAAAGCATATTCTGAGCCTTGGTGAAAGTATCTGTGCTATAGAAACATAATCTGAGTCTTGGTGAAAGTATCTGTATTGTAAAAACATATTCTGAGCCTTGGTGAAAGTAAACATAATCTGAGCCTTGGTGAAAGTATCTGTGCTTTAAAAGCATATGCTGAGCCTTGGTGAAAGTATCTATTCTATAAAAGCAAATCTGAACCTCGGTGAAAGAATCTGCTATAAGGGCATAATTTTAACTTTGGTCATAGAATGTGTTATTAGCAGATTTTCTATGCAATGCAAAAAGGATAAGAACTGCCGTAAAATAAGTGTCATGCGGAAATATTCTTATAACATTTTGAATAATACTGAAAAACTTTTCTGACATTTAATGTTCAACAAAAACCTACACAACCTTCACAAATAATAATCACTTGTCACTAGGTTTGTTGTCACAACCACAGCTGCCTGAACTATTTCTCAACACTTTACGTTTAAGACATTTACACATTTATATTCAATAAAATGTTTACACCTTGCAATATAATACACATGTTTTTTACCTTATTTAAACAAATATGTTACGTGTTCAACACTTTAATGCTTAAAAGTTAATTCCGACTTCAACGTTAATAATGTTGACTAATTTCAGTTAATATGTACATCTTAAGAACTACCACTATGTCTAGTCTGTTCATGTTTATGTATTGCACACTGAATGTTTTGCACAACCACACTTTTAAAATAGTATTGCACACTTAATGTTTCAAAACCTGCACACTTAATGTTTCAAAACCAAGCTTTCAACATAGTATTACACACATGATATTTCCAAACCTAACTTTCAACATAAATATTAATGTCTAAGCTAACTTTGTCTCTTGGTCACTGTTCATTTGCAGTAGAAACTGTTCATGTTTACACCTTATATGCTGTCTTAGATTATCTTTCCGTGTACACTGAAATCCACAATACACGCATATAAACGGCTTCTCCTTGGTGTGTACTCTTAAATGCCTCACCATCATATGTTTGGCAGCAAACGTTTTCCCGCAATTTTCAAACTGACAAACCAGAATTTTCATGCCATCATGTAACAATTCCAAATATGGCTGCTGTTCAAAATTCGAATTACTACTCTCTAATTGGCCAACTTGTATCCTTCTTTCTGATTGGCTGGTTTGGTAAATTCTGTTTTCTGATTGGTCAATACCAACAACATCTGCAAAGAAATGAAAAAGATTAACAAATGCTCGTCAAAATCATTGGAAAATTTATAAACAGTAGAAATACTGCATGCAATATTATTTTTTACACAAGGCAAGGCAATTTATACAAAGGGCTTTCATGCCTTGTCCAAAGAATTGGTACAAGCATTTAAATGCTAGCATAATGTAAGACTTAGAGAATGGAATGTTTGCCTAACATGAAAAGTGCACCATTTGGGACTCCAACTAGAACTGAATGTTTGCCTAACATAAAACATATACCATTTGGGACTCCAACTTACAAGTGATGCAGACCAAATGCTTAAAGTTTGTCAACCATCATCACTTTCTTCGCCCTGATGGTGGCGTTAAACATTTCAAATCTAAATACAATCATCAATTTGTTTTTCATGCAAAATTGTTTGTTTTAAAGTTTCAATTTTTTTAATCACAGAAACTTTTGGTCCAACATACACTGTGTAAATACAAGGTTCAGAAATAAACAATAATTCTGTCAACTTAAATTAGAGTAACCTCACAGGGGGTTATTGACATTATTATATCATTAATGCAAGAACTCGTATACATGATTCAATGAGTATGGTTTAGCTCACACAGGCACTTTCAGTAACTGTAATATGATTTATTGCAAGCTTATTTATTCATCCCAACAATCACCAAATCCAGTCCCATCTCGATATTATGAAAAAAATCTGACACTTTAAAAACTTCAATACAATTTTACCTGATGATAAACGAAAGAAAAAACCAAAACAATACATAAAATTGAATCCTCTCATATCAATAAAGAAACTTCATTAGAATTTGACACTGAACAAACTTCAATACACTTTTACATAAACTAAAGAAAAAACCAGAACAATACATAAAATTCTTCATATATGTATCTAAAATCTGAGTTATTGTTATATGTACATGTTGATGACCTACATTCATTGTGAAATCAAATTAATCAGAGAGACTTGGTAACAGTTTAAGACAATCTTTGAAAAAATTGCTCCTTTAGAACGTAAAATCATATTTCAGCAAAATCACATTCTGTTTTTTTGGAAGTAAATCTCACAAAACAGTATAAGCAGACTTTACAAATAAAAGCAGTCTTCAAGTCAAACTTAATACGTCACTTATTTTCCTTCAAATTCGCTATTGTAAACCCTCGTGTTTGTACTGTTTGTTCTAAAGTGAATTGAAATCACTATGTATATAAAATCATACTTCAAAGTTTAAATCTGAAATTAATGTTTGTCACGTATTTGCAACCGAGTACCTAAATTTAGGTAGATCTCTTACCTAACTGAATTCACATCTTTTAATTTTTGAATTCATCTCAATACTTAGTAAAATCCAAGCAGAATACTCACATCTCATGAATGTGTACCCACAATTCCAATCATCAAATCACTTAGAAATTTACCAATAATCCTGATAAGTAACCTCAGATGGAAATAAACCCTTGTTTTGTTTTTTTCTTGGCATTAAAAATCACAAGTAACAGCACTGTTAGCATAACTAAGGCCTTGACAGTTGATCTCAATTCAAGTCAATCAACCTTAACATTTAGTTACAACACTCAAATCAATTTCAATCCAATTATAACACACAGTCAATCTCAAATCAAAGTAATTGCACATATTTTCTCTATATTAAATCAGAGAAAAATTTTCATCAAAAGCCGAAAAAGTTGCTTTCCCAAGAAAAATCATATGCCGTACTACCTATGTGTAAACTCATGCTTTTTCACAGTATCTTTCCGAGAACTGCGATACGAACAAAATCTACACTGAAACGGTCTTTCCTTGGTATGCGTCAACACATGTCTCTCCATCCCTTGTTTACTTCCAAATGCCTTTCTACAGCTCTTGATGGAACAACAGAAGATGTTCATATGGTCCCCTTTGTTAATCATCACGTATCCGGGAGATTCGTTTTCCCATTCTGCGCTTTCTTCAAACTGATTTGTCACCGATGAATCTGAAACAAAAATCACAATGTTTTTTAATGAGAGTTTATGATGTATTTTTCTTCAGTTTTTTATTTTAGACAACTTATCAATGAATTTGGTCCCATTCACCAATACATGATGTAGCAGTGAATAATGTCTTCCATGCAATACATAACACATCAGTCACCCTTATTTTGTTCACAGTCAATGATACTACAAAACATATCCGTGTTCACAATAAACAACATATCAGTGACTTACAAAACTTGTTCACGTTACACACAACAGATATCAGTGACTCTTGTTTTATTGACACTAACCAACATATCAGCAATTTTGCTCTCATTCACTCTACTTATCAATTTAATATTGTGTTATTCACAATACAAAACATATAAGTCACTTTTACAAATCTTGTGTACATTATTGCAGTACATATCAGTAACTTTTATCTTGTTCACGATACACAACATATATCAGTGACTTTTGTCTTGTGGACAGGACAATACATGGCATATCAGTGACGCATGCCACAACATTATTAAAGACAAATAAGTACATGTAGCTTTTGTCTCATTGCCAATACAAGACAAATAATGTATCATTATTCAAGCTGTCTTTTACTTACTAATGTTCCACTTATTCAAGCATTTAAATAAATTTTTCATTAAATAAAATTTTTTTAGCTGCACAATACATTTTGACAAACAGGAAATTAAGCATTTACGCATTTAGTAGTCACTTTGGCAGGACAACCAAACTTGAAATTTTTATTTTTCCCTGGCAAAGTACTATGCCTTTGATGCCAAATTTAGAGTGTTCATTATAAAAGTATCACATCCAAAACCTTTATTTCTAAAATTTCACATAACATTTAATTCTTTTATTTTATTTTCTTTCTAAAGTTCATTGTCTTCACAATAAAGTACTATACCTTAAACTTACTGTTCAAAATCAACATAATTGTTGGCATCTCAAGATGTGACACCCCTTTTAATGTCTCAAAAAACAAGTTTTTACTGCATATTCAACTTTAACTGTAAAAAGATTTTTCAGTGTTTTCAAGAAAATCCCAAGTGTGTTTAGGTCAGGTAACCTTATAACTTCATAGATGGATCAGCTCCTTAGCACACTTCTTCAGTTTTAATAAGCTCAACAACTTCAGATCTTATATCTACCTCATTCATCTTCAGTTCTTTCTTTACATCAGAGTCTTCCTGGGCATCATTTAAAACAGTATCCATGAATGTAAGGTCCATATCACTTTTCTCCTTTATCTGGTCATTAACTTTACCATCATTATCATTAGCTACATCGTTATAACTTCCAACATTGCTATTGTTTCCTTCATCTTTATCATCTTTGTTATCATCATTATCTTCCAAATTATTCACACATTTAACCAATTTATGTACAAATTTCATATGCTCATCAAGATACGGCTTTATACCAAACATTTTCCCGCAAATATTACAACTAAACATTTTCCTCGAGTGACTCTCGTGATGATGTCTTAACAGACAAGTCTTGTATGTAAAACTCTTCGAACATAGATCGCATTTGAACGTCTTTCCCGAAGTATGCGAAGCCATGTGCTCTTTTAATTTTTCTGTACTTTTGAAATTTTTAAAACAGATACTACATATTTTATCTTTCCGATGCTTCGACAAATTTTGCCCATCAGTATGCATACGCTTTAAGTGTTCCCCTAGACTTTCCCTGAAGCCGAAGCCTTTCCCGCAAATGTCACAGAAGTATCGTTTCTCCCCAGTATGAACAACCATATGCCGTTCCAATTTACTTCTTACGTTAAATCTTTTCCCACATGTTTCACATTCGATTTTTTTCTTTGAATCGTCAGACATCATACTGTAACCTTCCCTTCTTGCCAAGGTCCGATTTTCCCTTGAGCAGTTTTTCTGTAATGAATCGTATTTCCCTTTTGCTTTCCTTGAAAAATTGTTTGCTATCAACCGCAGAGGATGGACATCATCTGCTGTAAAATAATCAAAATTGTGAATTCTAATATTGTTTTTGTTTACGAATATTTTCCTACAAAGTAGAGAAAAAGAAAGAACAAAGAAATCATTCTTCATTGCAATAATATTTATTTCTCTATTTCTTTCATTTCTTTTTTTAACTTATTGTGCAGCATAACATAGCACACTGGACAAAAGACATACCAACTTCAATAGTAAATTAATCTGACATATAACTGAGCCTTTTTAAATGCACGTTGAAGTCCAACTTTCCATCAAATATGAAGCATCACCAGGAATATCTATCATCATACTCAATGCTGCCTCATTAAATACAACAAAAAGCTTCAAAATTCATTTTCAATGATTTTAATTGAAAAGAACAACAAACAGCTTCCAGAATAAGTTTACAAATCAAAGATTTCTGCAAACTCAGCTACCCTTTTTTCAGTAATTAGATAATAAATTAACAGTTCAGTCAACAATGAGTATAAAGTTAAGCAAAACCTGGCTTTTAAATTTCATATACACCTAACAATGAGTGCTGGGTTGAATCTCCCACTGGGTTTTTCTTTCTCCAGTCCAGTAGGACACCCAATGGGGTTGTTACAACAAAGTATTGATACCTGTTTTCCACTCCAAACTTAGCCAAGGAGGAGTTATGTTTTTTTGCACTGCACTTCTATTCAATGAGATCTATCTATCTATAAAGTTTCCTGATGATATCAGAGTTATGTCCCTGGTAAAATTCGAAGTGTAAAAATGAACAAGAAACATGGCAATGCCATGAAACCAGGTTTTCAATTATCACCATTGTAGATAAATATGTTGTATTTGAAATACAAATACAAGCAACAAACAATGTAACTATGTGCAATGTAAAACATGAATAATGTAGGAGGAATTGCCACTGAAGAAGTGTTCACAAAATATTATGTATAAGGAAAAAAACAAAGGGCCATAATTAGGTCAAAAACTATCCAATCACAAAACCCTGACAATATGTGCCAGGGTGCTTGATGACAAAGCTTCTGTGAAAGTTTGAACAAAATCCGTTGAGAAATGTAGGACGAGTTCAGCACAGAAGAATTTGTTCACTATAATTATATTGATAATTCTGTATAATGAAAAACAAGTTACAAAGTAGACATGAAATAATATATCATATCTTTTTTAAATTACCTCCAAAGATGATATGACCTTTGACTGCCAAATCAAGTTAAAATCATGTAAACAGGATTTTCAATGTTAATGTCACTGTGACCTTGACCTTGGAGCCAGCCATGCGGAACATGCGTTCTGCACTGTGACCTTGACCTTGGAGCCAGCCATGCGGAACATGCGTTCTGCACGTCATCTTGATGTGGTAAACATTTGTCTGAAGTTTCATCAAAATTCTTCAAAGGGTTGAAGAGTTACAGAGCGGACAGGATTTTCAATGTTAATGTCACTGTGACCTTGACCTTGGAGCCAGCCATGCGGAACATGCGTTCTGCACGTCATCTTGATGTGGTAAACATTTGTCTGAAGTTTCATCAAAATTCTTCAAAGGGTTGAAGAGTTACAGAGCGGACAGGATTTTCAATGTTAATGTCACTGTGACCTTGACCTTGGAGCCAGCCATGCGGAACATGCGTTCTGCACGTCATCTTGATGTGGTAAACATTTGTCTGAAGTTTCATCAAAATTCTTCAAAGGGTTGAAGAGTTACAGAGCGGACAGGATTTTCAATGTTAATGTCACTGTGACCTTGACCTTGGAGCCAGCCATGCGGAACATGCGTTCTGCACGTCATCTTGATGTGGTAAACATTTGTCTGAAGTTTCATCAAAATTCTTCAAAGGGTTGAGGAGTTACAGAGCGGACACAATTTCGTTTGACGCCCGCCCGAGCGGACAGGATTTTCAATGTTAATGTCACTGTGACCTTGACCTTGGAGCCAGCCATGCGGAACATGCGTTCTGCACGTCATCTTGATGTGGTAAACATTTGTCTGAAGTTTCATCAAAATTCTTCAAAGGTTGAAGAGTTACAGAGCGGACAGGATTTTCAATGTTAATGTCACTGTGACCTTGACCTTGGAGCCAGCCATGCGGAACATGCGTTCTGCACGTCATCTTGATGTGGTAAACATTTGTCTGAAGTTTCATCAAAATTCTTCAAAGGGTTGAAGAGTTACAGAGCGGACAGGATTTTCAATGTTAATGTCACTGTGACCTTGACCTTGGAGCCAGCCATGCGGAACATGCGTTCTGCACGTCATCTTGATGTGGTAAACATTTGTCTGAAGTTTCATCAAAATTCTTCAAAGGGTTGAAGAGTTACAGAGCGGACAGGATTTTCAATGTTAATGTCACTGTGACCTTGACCTTGGAGCCAGCCATGCGGAACATGCGTTCTGCACGTCATCTTGATGTGGTAAACATTTGTCTGAAGTTTCATCAAAATTCTTCAAAGGGTTGAGGAGTTACAGAGCGGACACAATTTCGTTTGACGCCCGCCGAGCGGACAGGATTTTCAATGTTAATGTCACTGTGACCTTGACCTTGGAGCCAGCCATGCGGAACATGCGTTCTGCACGTCATCTTGATGTGGTAAACATTTGTCTGAAGTTTCATCAAAATTCTTCAAAGGGTTGAAGAGTTACAGAGCGGACAGGATTTTCAATGTTAATGTCACTGTGACCTTGACCTTGGAGCCAGCCATGCGGAACATGCGTTCTGCACGTCATCTTGATGTGGTAAACATTTGTCTGAAGTTTCATCAAAATTCTTCAAAGGGTTGAAGAGTTACAGAGCGGACACAATTTCGTTTGACGCCCGCCCATCCGCCCATCCGCCCATCCGCCCATCCGCCCATCCGCCCGCCATACCCCAATCTAATAACCAGGATTTTCAAAATTGAAAACCTGGTTAACAAAGGGCAATAACTCCAAAATTAGACCAGGCTTTGTTTAGGTTCTTTAAGCATTGCAGTCCTATCCAATTATATCTAGCTACCTACAAAGTTTCATGTTGATATCTCTAATAGTTTTAAAGTTATGTCCCAGACAAAAGTCAAAAAGTAAAAATAAACAAAGGGCAATTACTTCAAAATAAGGCAAGGCAGGGTAATGATTCTTAAGCACTGCACTTCCATCCAATGAGACCTATCTATCTACAAAGTTTCATGTTCAGATATCTCTTATAATTTTAGAGTAATGTCCCGGACAAAGTTCAAAGTGTCAGAATGAACAAAGGGCAATAACTCCAAAAGTAGGCAAGGCAGAGTTACGGTTCTTGTGCACTGCACACCTACTCAATGAGATCTTTCTACCTACAAAATTTCATGTTGATACCACTTATAGTTTTAGAGTTATGTCCCAGACAAAGTTCAAAGTGTAAAATAAACAAAGGGGGATAATTAAAAAATTAGGCAAGGCAGAGTTACGGTTTTTGTGCACTGCACACCTACTCAATGAGATCTATCTACCTACAAAGTTTCATGTTGATACCTCTTATACATTTAGAGTAATGTCCCAGACAAAGTTCAAAGTGTAAAAGTAAACAAAGGGTAATAATTCCAAAATTAGGCAGGGCAGAGTTACGGTTCCTTTTCACTGCACACCTACTCAATGAGATGTATCAACCTACTAAGTTTTATGTTGATACCTCTTAAAGTTTTAGAGTTATGTCCCGGATGAAGTTCAAAGTGTAGAAATGAACAAAGGGCAATTACTCCAAAATTAGGCAAAGCAGAGTTAAAATTCATGTGTACTGCACATCTACACAATGTGATCTATCTAACTACAATTTCATGTTGATACCTCTTATACTTTTAGAGTTATGTCCTGGACAAAGTTCAAAGTGTAAAATAAACAAAGGGGGATAATTCAAAAATTAGGCAAGGCAGAGTTATGGTTCTTGTGCACTGCACACCTACTCAATGAGATCTATCTACCTACAAAGTTTCATGTTGATACCTCTTATAATTTTAGAGTTATGTCCCGGACAAAGTTCAAAGTGTAAAAATAAACAAAGGGGAATAATTCAAAAAAGAGGCAAGGCAGAGTTACGGTTCTTGTGCACTGCACACCTAGTCAATGAGATCTATCTACCTACAAAGTTTCATGTTGATACCTCTTGTTGTTTCAAAGTTATGTCCCGGACAAGAAAAGGGGACGGAGGGACGGACGGACGGAAAGCCGGACGGACAGACAAGGCGGCGACTATATGCTCCCCCGAAATTTTTTCGGGGAGCATAATAAAAGCAGGAAACACAGGGCACTTTACACAACTTAACTGGATATTTCAATGAAAGTCTGCGCATTAAAATTAAAGTTCAAAAACAAGAATCAATGGATCACCAAAACAAATGACAAGTCTGAGAAACACAGTGCACTTGGGTAAACAACAGACCAGGTAGTGCACATAAATAAACCACCTTATGATGTTCATTAATCCATCTGAATGGCCTCCTCACATGAAATAATCCAAAGTCCCTAACAGAAATTCAACCCCACAGCGGTGAGGAGCAAGTGGTTTGAAGTCAACAAATTTAATCACTCGGCCTAAGTTGTCGCTAGATCAAATGTAAAATGTCATCAGACCCCAATTATAATCTGATCGGGTTCAAGCACGAGAAAGATGGGTACCATATTATTGTCTAACAACATGCATACTTATAAGATCTAGGTCTCTAGGTATAACCCTTCTTGACGTAACTACAAATTTAAATAGTATCCTTTGTGATGTACATATCAATTGAGCTGATTTGCATTCAACTAACTTCATTGTTTGTTTGTTTTGGGTTTTACGTCACATCGACACAGTGTAGGCCATATCGCGACGTTCCAGCTTTACTGGTGGAGGAAGACCTCAGGTGCCCTTACGTGCATTATTTCAGGCACGAACGGGCACCCGAGTAGAACCACCGACGTTCCGTAAGCTAGCTGGATAGCTTCCTCACATGAAAGAATCCAAAGTCCCTGTCGGGATTCGAACCCACAGCGGTGAGGGGCAAGTGGTTTGAAATTACTTCATTGTGATTTATCTTATTGAATGGAACGATACACATATACCTTTAACAAACATGATGTAGCAATTTCATATCTTGAAGTTATTATTATTATTAATATTTTTTTTTTCTTTTTTGGCTGGCTTATTTAACATCCAGTAAACCTCTAACACTAGCAAAAACAAGAGCTGTCCGTAAGACAGCGCGCTCGACTTTTTTATTGCTTGCCAATAAAAAAAAGTTTTTGCAGTAAAAGGCAATACAAGAATCTCTGTATTTTTAAAGTGAACAATGGCCATGAGCATTAAGATATTTAGTGAAGAATTATTTTACTGAATTGTGTGATACCTTGAAACACTGCAGCAAAGTTTGAAATGTTTAAGTCAAAAGAGGGCTGGTAAGAAAGAAAAAAAAACTGAGTTGAGCCTTAAATAAATTTAATAGTATTAAACCCACTTTGAGAGAATAAGGTATTTTTACGTCACTCAGAACACCTTGGTAAATGACATAATAACATAATTTTTCAAGAAATCTATGCCAAGGAAGCAGTATATTTTTG